GTTGTTAGTAGTTGCGGCCGCTTATCATAAATCTATATCTTACTTTTATTATTATTACTATTATTATTATTATTATTATTACTCTGCAACTCTTTTTGTTTTTCTGCAAGGTAAGCTAGAGAAGTTAAACTTTTGTAATTATATCAAAATCTTTTTGTCTCATAAATGTTATTCATATTTATCCATTACTTCTTTCGTTCCATAAATATTATCCTATTTTAATTTTCTTTAGTTAAATTTTTAATTTTAATTTTAATTATTTAAAATATTTAACTAAATTAAATATTAATAAGTATACATTTAAAAACTAAAATTTTAAATTAAATAATAGTGATCAAATTTGAAAAAGAAAATTCACTTGAAAAAATTTGATTGAGAAAAATCAAATTCATACATTAAGGACAGAAGGAGTAATTCATTAAAGTTAAGTGAGGTTTCCATGATGTTGCTAGTCAAGAATGTGTTGAACATTCAGGGCAGTCAATTCTTGCCCACGCCAGTGCACTCTAAAAAGTAGAACAGTACAAAACTCAACTGAGGTTAGAGTTCTGATTCAATAATGCCAAGAAAATATCCCTTTCTGTCTTGCTGGAACAGTGCAGATGAAGAATGACAGCATCCTTGGATCCATTAATTTCAACCATGTAATACGCACACATCATTCAAGAACTCGCTAATTTCCATATGATTGCTTTATGCCATGCTAGTATTTATAGTTTGATTGCTTTCATATGCATGTCTCCTTTTTGTCTAACCAATACAGAAACATCTTTCATTCTATTGGAGGGAAATTATATTGTCACAGGTTGATAAACAAGCTGATAAGCAACAACAGTATTTCAAAACGGCCACCCCACATTATCTACTGTCTCACTCATCTCGGATCAAGCTAAAGAAGCACATCTCATTGCATTTGTAGTCCACTTTTATTCATTTAAATGTATGAATTTGATTTTGTTGGTCAATAAATGAAGACTCTTTGGAGTAGACTTGCCCCTTATATCATAAATGAAATTAAGAATACATATTGAGTTGAGCAAGAAGAGTGCATTTTGCTGTTACCGACAGAATTGTTGGTCTGTAAATTTGATACCATGCATCCATTTTGGAGCCTAAACTTTACTGATCAAATATGACTACACTGTTCATTTATTGGTAATCCATCGGTAATTACCATTACACTAAAATAAATTTAACCAAAAGTTTAGACCATGAGTTTTCATTGAACATTCCAGTCATCCAAATGCTTACTTGTGTCTAGATACTAGCACACACAAGGTATTCACCTCAAGACATTTTTTGTTTGATGAAATACAGTTTCCCTTTCCACAAATCTCAAATTCAATTAATAAATCTCTTGTTTCATCCTCTGAATGGCTAACCAAATCTATATACCTATTTCCACCCACTATATCAGAAACATCTGGAAGTCATACATTAGTTCCATTACCTTAACAAGTGGCAAGCTCATGGATTAACTATTCTCTATCACCTTCAACTACTCATTTCAATCCATCTCCCTCTTCAAATCCTGTTGTTTTTTAATTTGCCACTCAAAGAACTCATCCAATGATAATAAGGTCTTAAAATAACTTCTTCAAGCCTAAACAAATTCATTTGGGTACTAAATATCCCATACCACTAAGCATTAAACCTTCTTGTGTCACCACTGCCATAACAGATCCACATTGGAAACGAACCATCCTTGAATAGCTTACAACTTTGCATAACAATGGCACTTGGGAATTAGTACCTAAACCTCCCAACCAATCTGTGGTAGGTTGAAATAGGTATTTAGAATAAAGAGAAACCTAGATGGATTCATTTTCATATATAAGGTTAAACTTGTTGCCAAAGATTTCCACCAATAATCAGGACATGATTACAATCATTTGTATAGTTATTAAACTTGTTACAGTCAAACTAGTGATAAGTATTACAGCTTCTAAGAATTGGCCTTTTCATCAACCTGATGTCAACAATGCATTATTTTAAGGAAACCTCACTGAAGAAGTCTATTTGAAACAACCTTTAGTATTTTTTGATTAACACCATCAACATTATATATGCAAGCTCAAAAAGGTTATATATGGTCTAACAAGCAATTGGACCATGATGCTTCAATTCTCCAAAAAAAAAAAAAAAAGGAAATGATGTATTTGACATTAAAATCCTTTTTGGTGAACAAAAGAGAATATCTTTAAATACTACTAGAATGCAACTTTGAATTTTGGATCTTTTTTTCTATTAATCTTTGTAAGAATAAAAAAATTTCAAATTTTTCTAGGTCTTCTATTTTTTTTTTCTAATAGTCTTTGTAGAGAGAGAAAAAGGAGGAGAATATCGCAATTTACGTTAGAGAAAAGTGATTTGCAGAAGAAGAAAGAGGAGAGAAAAATCGATTGAGAGAACAAGGTATTTTCTGAAAAGCTAACGTATTAAAAAAAAAAAAGCTCCTCTCCGAAGCTTTTTTTAAGCTTTTTTTGAAATTTTATTTTTTAAAAATTTTATTTTTTAAAAAACCTCTTAAAATCCTGTTTAACCTGACTCCTGTTTTTAAAAAATAGATAAACTAAAAAAAAATCAAGCCAAACAAGGATTAAGTCTTAGTATTTGATTCTATGTATGGAAAAGTCTAACTCAACACCCCTTGAATCCAGATTTACCGACAAACTCGAGCCTCTTTTGCTCACAAACATGGTGGGAGTTGAATATCCTAGACTAGTTTAATTGTTTTTGTTAAAGCTATTGGGCCTCCTTTGTATCAAAAAATAAGTGGTAAAATACATCTATCTTTTTAAGTTTTAATCAAAATTTTAAGCGAATTTATTTATTTTTAAAATAGACATTTCGTTTAAAAAAATATCTTTCATTGGATACCTAGGTCCAACTATTAGTAAACTATTAATATTTCTATTAATTTGATGACGTGATAATATTGAAATGATAATTTTATTTTTTATTAATTTTAAAATTATTATTATATATTTTTTATTCATTTAAAATTACTATTTTTATTTTTAAAAAAAATATAAAAAATGGAGAGCAGTGATCGCTGCTCCTCAATGGGGAGGGACCCATGCTTTCCTCTATCCATTTTTATTAAATATAAAAATAATTTTTTAAATTAATAAAAAAATAACATTTTAGTGGTGTTTACACTTTTAGAACTGAATATTTAATTCGAAAATTAATGAATTTGTTTAAAATTTTGATTAAAATTTATAGGTATAGGAATATTTTACTCAAATAAAATATCGTTTAACTTATTATATAACTCATTTATTACAACCATTCTATCATGTGAAATAAGCGTAACTAGAAAAGAAATGGAAAAGGTGAGTAAAAAACGACAAG